CGCACCACTGTCGCCCGTCCACCCGCCGCTGCTCCCGTCCCCCAGGCCAACTCGCGTCCCCTAGTGGTGCTGAGGTCCCCGTCTGCTCGGCAGGTGGTCCGGGCCGAGTACGAGGGCGGTACCTCGGGCATCCGGTACACGGGAGCCGAGATGGTGCCGCTCGAGGTGCACACCTCCTGCGAGTGCGGCTGTCGGCTCAGCGCCCAGGTCAGCTGGCGGCCGCACTCAGCGGCCGACGATGGGTGTCGGGGCACACCAGCCACAGTTTGCACACATATCACATTTGGGTTACATAAATGCGCGGTGATGCCGGTGGTGTAGGTGGTGTCGGTGGTGCTGCGGTGAGGATGGTGATGATGTAGTTATCCAGCAACAATTTAAGCGGGAAGCGGGAAGAAGGAGAGGAATTCTAAGATGCGTGACATCTTCAAATTTAACAATGACTAGAATGGCGCAAGCAAAACCAATACGCCACAAGATAAATATGCCTGCTTGCTCACAAGATCCCAGCATCGTTATCAAGTGTTGCAATTTGGGCTCGGTAGTATCCCTTCATTCAATGTCTATCGTCAACGAAATCTAGGTGTTGGTGACCGCTGTCAAGTTTCAGCGTGCTTTCAAGCCTAACACCGATGATGTGCTCTGCAGGACTGCAACCGGTTCCAGGAGTACATTTCCAGTGAGTGCCGTTGCAAATGTGTCAACGAAGACGACTACTATAAGTGCACGAAGAACGACAAGAAGCTGTGGGAACCTAGCACGTGCATGTGCAAGTGCAAAAACGAGAGGGAATGCAGTACGGGTCGCTACTTCGACCTCAACAACTGCGAGTGAGTTGATCAACGATCAGAACTTACGAGCAGCGCTGATGGGAAAAGCTAGAGCTCCATCAACTACAACTAACGAGCCCAACATACTTGGAATAATCTTAACCGAATCGTATTTACGCTGTTTCCAATAATTCTACTAGCATTAGCCCTTTATCAGTTCGAGGGTGGCCTTGCTAGCCAAGATTGCTAACACCGGACGTTAGCACGTCATGCACTAATTTCCTTGTTTCTCTTTGACGCAAGCAGCATACAACGATAACGGGTATCACTCACACGGTCTGTTGATCGGTGTCTTTAGTATCATGGGAGCATTATTACCATCAGGCTTTCTACCACGACCTTGCCTGGCCGTCTTACAGTGGCGTACAAGTCTGCCGAAAAACGTTGCCAGACGCTGACGGCGTGCCTTCCTTCTTGCCAGGTGCCGCCCTCTGCCGTCGCGGGAGGACAGGCCGTTCGACCCGGTGCTAGGCAGCCGGTTCTACAACCCGTTCCGGTCCTTCTACTCCAGCGACGGCACGTCTTCCACCACTGAGGACCAGCAGCGTGCGAGGCATGCCGACCCAGCCAGGAGAGACAGCCGGTCCGGTGAGGGTGCGCCGGCCCCCGTTCGACGGCCAACCTCCATACCGACTCCCGGCGTAGCCGCCACTCACTTTCCAGGCTGATGCAGACTCACCGCCAGACCCATCTGTTGCCGGTCCATCTAGGTCTACTACTTTCCTGCCCTTCACTGACACTGTCGTGCCAGCGGCGTCATCGTGCCAAGCCTGTGGCAGCTGGCACGACTGGGCAATACGGAAGCCACCTGGCATTTGGGGAGATGAAGGTGCTCGTGGGTGGTTTGCTTTCTTGCTTTCCGCGCAGAGTCATTGGTCTACGATACATGTTCACACACGCCGGATGCTGCGCCCACTGGCCTCTTGCGCCAGCGTTCCTCAGTGGCTTCCATGTGTTCCCACAGGTCGCACGGAGAGACCAGTACGCGTCCGGGGCCCGCAGCGGTCCAACCGCTACGATGAGAGGGAACGACGCGGCTGACCTGGCGACCTCCACTGCAGTCCTGCCGCAGCGGGAGCGACGCGGTCGGACCATGTGCCGTCACGAGCCACAGGACGCCACCCACCGGAGCTATTTATACGGGATGCCGCCGGAGTTCGGCGCCACTCGTCACGCGCCGTCATCTGCTCATCAACGTCACGTCTGGCTGGGAAGCGGGAAGCGCTGCTGCTGTGCGAAGCCACGGAAATGGCTTCGCGGACGCGGCTAAGGTGTGGCGCTTTAGTAAAACCGTAGTTTCCACCAAGCCGCGTACGCACGAATGGAACAGGAGATGCGGTGCAGCGAACAGTGCGTTGTGAAATCAGATGACGTGTACAGTGGAATCCTGTGACATGCGAGAATTGCAGCGAATACACAGAACATCTGTGCCAAAGTGTTGATGTTCGCCTCTGTTTCAGCTAACACATGCAACTGAAGGTTTATTTGTGTGCGCGAGTTGGTGTCTGCGGGGGTCACCAGGCATTTTACGAAGGGTGGTCAACTGGGTCTTGCGTAATCAATGCTGCGTTTGTAAATATAAGTCAAAGCATGGAGCATTCCTTTATGGCATTGGGTGGAAACAAAAGGCCGATGAATGCAACATATTGGTTGCGCCTCTCCAGGGCACATTGCAGCACAGCTTCATTTAATCCAATTAAAAAAATACGTTATGACTTTTTTTACTTTTCTCTGTCATGCGTATGCGCAAGGCATGCAAAGCCGAGTACTGAGAACAGGAAAACAGATACAGCTATATACACATCACACACATACCTCGCCTAGCTCAACTCTTCGGAACAATTTAAAACTGGTCCCATGGTGCTGCATGAAGAGAAAACATGCAAAACCGCAGTTCGTATCCCGTTTTAGACAGTTCTTATGCCTATGTACATCGGCAGTCTGCCTGTAAATGCAAAACGCTGTGTTCAAAGCTTATGTTTTGCGTCAAAACGTAGGTATGCGATCGACATGGCTCCCTTTGAACTGAGGGTGTTGCGAGCTTCTTTTACTTTGATCTATGCCTGGCTGTTCACATATATGAACCATACAGGCAGCCAGCCATGAGAACACAATCTCGAGCACCAGTAGTGGTATACGCGGCACGAGTAGCTCTAGCCAGGAACGATAATTTTCTGAACGCTGGAGGCCATCAGCGTCGATACAGTCCTTACAGTCTCCAACTCCCCAAGTCTCGGAGACAATCATCCCGGCAGCTGACTATTTCCCATGCATTTCATAAGTCATGACAGTGCGTATAGCTGTAATGAAATAAGCTTGCTCTCCATTTATGACGACACTGGACATTGTGAGCCTGAGCTTGCGAAGGCATGAGCGCCACCTTGTGCAATTCTAGAGCGAGGAGCAGCGTTGAGATGGGGTTCTCAAATGATCCCCTGAGCAAGCACGATGCTCTGATGAGGACTGCCTTAATCATGGTAATAGGCAGGCCGAATACGGCGAAGGATTTCTCTCATCTTTGAAACACGTGAACCGTAACATCGCTTCTTTGCTCACTGAAAGTAACGTACAAAGAAAGTAACCAATGCCATGCGTGGGTAACAAACATGCGTGAAAGTCAACGTTGACGGTTCCGACAGTCATTCATGACCAATCTCCGATTGCGTCGGCAGGTTCCGAAATCATCCTCAAGTTTTACCTCACATGCGTCACGCGTCCTGTGGTCAACGATCATAGCCAAACATGGTGAAACACATAATTCGTCTTAACCGGGCTCTGAAAAATATCCATGATTCTGCCTTGTTACGGAGTGGCAGTGCCGAACGCTATTCCGGAGCATTTTCAACATTCCGGATAGTGCTATGAGGCTATCTGCAGGCTTAACTCCCACAACGTCTGGCGCGACTTCTCTGCGAAATTCACGCCAGTCATCACAGATTATTAGCTTTTCTTGGGACCATCTCAGACCACTGATTTTGTTTTGGGACTAGGGCTCAGTTCAAGGGAACAGGAGAAGGCGGTTTCTGAATTCTAGCAGGGCCCAAAATTATCTGACAGTAAATATTTACAGTTTGTGGAACAATTCAGGCGAGGTAATTACTGTTCACACTATCGTCCTTGCCTGATATGCTAGTATGTACACAGGGTTGCGGCCAGTAGAGTCTTTGGCGACCGTCAAGCGCAAAGTAGTTTAAAGAGGGACTGAATGGTGCTTGAATTCCTCCATAGATGCGTCACAACGCGAAATCTCTCCTTGGACCGGAAAAAGCAGTCCTTCCCCTTCACTGACTAGCACAGGACCCTTCCATTGTCTCCTTGTATCACTGTAAGTTTTATATCTTCTTTCACCGTCAGAGGACTCCGACCAACGCAAGAGACTCTATGACATTCGGGTCCCGTGCCTGTCCCTCTTAAAGAAGTTCCCCTAATCAACTCCCGGCCTCTTGCCGAACAAGACCCCTGTTAGGCACTGGGACCTCCTCACAGACACAGGAGCTCAACCAAGTAAATCGCTGGCCCCGGCTCTGTCACTGCAAGGGAAAATGGGCGTTTAGTCTCACACAGGTACGGGTCAACTGCGCGGTACTTATGGTGCCTTACCGTCATAGAAGCCCTTATCGGATCGGGGAACCCGGTCGGCGCAGAGGACGCTCTCACTGGCACTTAGTGGCCCGTCCAGGGGCGGGTCTGGGCCCCTGGGTACGACCTCCGGCCAGACCATCAGGCCTTGAGGCCTTCCAATCGGGCCCATGATCGTCCGTCCCGGTGGGGCCTCCAAGCCCTTTTTGGGCTTCCCGGAGCACTGCCCGTGACCAAATCAGAGCCCCTTTCCAAAACAGGACTCCCTGTTAAGTACTGTGCAGCCTTAAAAGGCACATGGGTCCAAAAATGTAAATGGTTGGTCCCGGCCTTCTTCCTACTTAAGAAATGAGCCTTCAGGCCCATGCCCACACAGAGTCGGTATTGAATTGGGGAAAATCTTCGTAGCAGCTCTGGGGCGAATTGGACAATATGAGTGGAACATCACGTAACATGCGCTATGATTTGGTGACGCAGACCTCGTCTTATTTGTCTCAGATGCGCAATATTGTGGAGTATTGACATTGTTCGCCTCAGTTGGCATTTTGGCAATGCGATGTGTGTAGGTCGTCTGTGCTTGTGTTTGTGTGTACGTGGGGGTGCGCACCATATGTATGCATGGGTACCTTAAAGGGACTTACCCTTCTGTTATTGTTAGTTCATACTCGTGTAGTTTCTATTTGTGCTTGTGTTTGTGATATGTGGTGTTCGGGGGTATTTCAATCGTGGAGTGTATGTCTGAGTGAAAACCTACCAGTGAAGCGCTTCCTAAGATACATATGTCACAAGCAATCAACTCAAGAACAGTTAGGAATTCATTTTCACTTAATCAAGTGCATGCTTCACCAATTCTTGATGCTTCCAATGGAGTGTAGGTTTGGAATGGTAGAATGAATAGAAAATTATATAACTGATCAATACAATGGTCACATGTTGTAAGTTGAATAATGAATTTGGGGGCTCAGCCCACCTTGGCTCCCTCCAGCTTCCACACCCTTACCTGTGGGATTGACAGTTACTCTTGTAGTTGCTTAATGTTATGAATGGGCATTTGTAGTGTCATGTGTAATGTAAGTATTGCCATTTTAAAAATAATTATTGTTTTCTTACAAGACCGAGCTTGGGCATGTTGTTTTGCATTTCTGTTAGTGACAAGATGCAATTTGTTTTTTTGAGCTTGTTTTGTGCCAATGCATGCTAAGATGAACATGCCAAAATTACAGCAGTGAACAAACTTGCAGTGCTTGCAATATATAATATATCAGGCTAAAAGAAGCAGCTCTGAAAATCATCACCATTAACCTTGTGCACTATTTATCTTCAAGTCATTGATGATGAGTATTTCAACCCAGTCTGCCTGGCACATTTGTAGCTTGTTATTGTTTGGTGCGAAGAAGTAAGGTGAGCTGATGAATATACTTTCTTGCCTTGCATCTTTTATGAAATATATAGAGTGCAACCTTGGCTGATTTTTTTCCTTTTCAGATAATTTCAAGCCATGTCAGACTCTGAGGATTCAGAAAGCTTTTTGAGTGCTGATGAAGGAGATGCTGGTAATGTGTCAAGTGACATAACACTCTCCAGTGACTCAGAACCTGAAGAGAAGGAGAAGGCTGTCACTGGAGGGGCTGGTCATGAATCAAGTGACATTACTCTATCTAGTGATGAAGATGAAAGCCCAGTACAGTCAGCTAAGGGGACAACACAAGATAAAAAGGTTGGTAGAGCTGGAAGCAATGAGGAAACAAAAACAAAGACAAAACTTGTGGCCAGCAGGCATGAGAAGGAACAGTTATCATCTGGTATTGGAAAGCATGCCGAAGAAGACTCAAGCTCAAAAGTTCAATCAGGCGAAGCTGCTAAAACATTTGAGGTGTCCTGCATGTCACACACCCTGTCAAAGGTGACCAATGTTGAAACTGAAAAGCAAACTGTGGAAAAGGCCACTGGATCATTAGTCCAAATGCATGGTACCAATGATGTGCCCAAGTGCACTGAAACTGCTGCCCTGATGACCAGTACTGCATGCATTGCCTCCTCAGCCCCACCTGATGGGTATAACACCTCTCCCAAAGACCCTGATGGGACATGCAAGGCTGCTCTGCCTGCTCAGGAGCAGGCTGATGCTGAGGGCTGGGGAGATCTGGGTGAGACCACATTACCTGGTGAAGAGAAGGCTGAGCCTGAGGGATGGGGAGATCCGGGTGAGGCCACGTCACCTTGTGAAGAGATCGCTGATTCTGAGGGCTGGGGAGATCTGGGTGAGACCACGTCACCTGGTGAAGAGATACCTGAGCCGAAGGGCGGGAGAGGCCGCGGTGATCCGCTAGTTGGGGCGTCGCCGGAGCCTGAGGCGCCGCGGGAGCAGGACGACTGGGGCTGGACGGACGATCGGACGTCGCCCGGTCCCACCCAGGACGTGACCGTCCCGGTATCCAAAGCCAAGGCCTCAGCGGGGTCCGCGCCGTCGTCAGCGCACGTGTCCGTGACCTCAGATGAGCTTGTTACCGACGCGCCAGACAATACTGCGGCAGAGGACCGGCCGACAGACGCGGCGGCCGAGGCGAGGCCAGAGAAGGCGGCGGCGGCGGACGCCCCGGAGCGGAGGCGTCCGGAGCGCCGGGAGCGGCGCGGCCCGCTGAAGCTCGGCGCCAAGAAGCTTAGCTCCAAGCTGGCGCCGTCCGCTCAGGCGCAGCCGGCGCCGTCTGGGCGGGACGCGGGCGCCGCGCAGGATGGCGGCACGGCGGCGGCCGTCTGTCAGCCGTCGGCCGCTGCCAGCCAGGACTCACCACAGGACGATCAGGTACCAGCCCTGGCCGCCTGACCACCGGGCCGAGTGCACCGCCTGCTGGGTAACATTCCACACCGCCGTGTGTCACTAGGGACAAAGAGTGCAAGTCTTGCACTGTGCTTATGGGGATCGTATTGTATAGTATTATACAGTTGAGTGCATCTTTGTTGGATATCGCGGTTCAACGCAACAGCAAGGTATGACTAGCAAGAGCCGAGGAACATTACACAGCGTGACTGGGGCACTAGTTTCAGGTATATTTTTGGCTTCAGTATGCTCAACATGTCTGCAGGATGGTTTGCTGGCATGTATCGTTGCGAACGCCATCATGTTTCGTCGTGGCTTTCGTTTGCAGCACTGACCATATTTGCGTTCGTGGGCTTGCTTGACCGGTCAGCGCACCGCAAAACGCTGTGACGCGTCTCTGATGCGGGCTCCTCTCGGTGCCCAGGACGGCTGGGGCGCGTGGGAGGCCTGGGGCACGTCCCTCATCAGCTCGGCCCGCGACGTGACCAAGACGGTGCTGGAGACGGTGGAGACTGGGTTCGGAGCGCCCGATCCGGAGGAGCTGGCGCGGATCACTCGGCTGGAGCAACAGCAGCATCAACAGCAGCATCAGCAGCAGCAGCAGCAGCAGCCGGAGCGACAGCCGGAGCACGCCCCGGGTAAGTGTCATATCAGCCGGCTGGCTGAAGGTCAACAGGGTACAGCTTGACATGTCGGCGTGCCTGGCTGCTTCGTGTGGTCATCAGGCCGGCTTCGTGTGATCTTCGTGAATCAGGACCATCTGCGAGTGAAGTTACGTTTTGGAGTGGGCGAGCCAAGCTGTTACCCTTCTATAGGTCTAACAGTGACGCGAACTGCTTCCGTTTTGATGCATCTTGTTGATTTGAGCATATTTTGTATGACTTCCCTCGCTTTTGGCGAAACATCGAACACAAGACAAAGCCATCTGCACCGCGCTATATTCGTTCATACCATGTAACGTGTGTGACTGCATCATGTGCATGTGGGACTGATGCGCCTTGGCGCTGCATGAGGGTATTCCAGTAGACATCGTTGCCCCATTCATCCATCTCTGCACGATCTCTTGCGCCATCTCTGCGGCTTCCAGTAGAATGAGAAGACATTACCGCAGCCTCTGAAGTTGTTGTGGTTTGACTGCCCGTGCTGCCCGCTCAGTGGCCGGGCCGGCGGCCTCTGGCGACGGCGACGGCGATGGCGACGGCGGCGGCCTGGTGGCTGGGCTCGTGGCTGGGCCGGCGTGGTCACGCGCGCTCGGCCACACCTCCTCCCTGGTGGTCAACACCGGCCTTGACACGCTGGAGCTGATCGGCAAGCGCACCATGGACGTGCTGCAGGAAGACCAGCTGGGTATCCACGACACGATAAGCCAGCTTGGCGGACAGAAGCCGTGCCTGTCACCAGGTGAGAGCGACAGGGACTGCTGCTACAGCTGGCCGTCAGGAACGCTACGACTGTCAAAGGCCTGCAGCAGGAGAGCTCCCCCTGCCACAGCGGAGAGGCGGTCAGGGGCCCGCCCGTCACAGGCACAGCGATAGGCGGTCAGGGGCCCTGCCCTGTCACAGACACAGCGGAGAGGCGGTCAGGGGCCCTGCCCTGTCACAGACACAGCGGAGAGGCGGTCAGGGGCCCTGCCCGTCAACAGACACAGCGGGAGAGGCGGGCAGGGGCCCTGCCTGTCACAGACACAGCGGAGAGGCGGCCAGGGGCCCTGCCTGTCACATGGGGGGGGGGGGGGCGCAGCTCCGTCCCTTTGAAGAGAGACGCCCCCCTCTGTCACGGCGGCATGCTCGGTTGCAGGCGCTGCGGGAGGCCCGAGAGAAGCGCGGCGAACGCAGTGCCGGGCGCAACTCCGGCGCGGTCCGACGGCGGCCCCCAGCTGCCGCCTACCTTCAGCCGGCTGTTCGACCAGTGCGACGGTACGCCGGCCGAAGAATGTGGCGTGCTGTCAGAATCTGGGTGTTGTGTTGTCAGGGATCGCAAGGAGACCCGTCATGAACGCGTGGTGCTCATGCACTGCCCAATTGTCACAGTGTGTGCGACACGCAGTATGCAAATGGACGGCGTAGCTTAGCGTGCTGGACTCTGAACCGTGAGGTTGTGGGTTCAAGACTGACTACCAGCTGTGCATTGGGCCCTCACCTTGGGGGAGGAGGAGGGTTCGACGCTGACCCAGGACATGTGTCTCAAGGTGGTCATTGTATCTGCACTTAACTTTAAGGGAGCGATCCACATTTATGTGGGGGTTTTTCAACTGAAGTGGCCATCTTGAAGAACCTTTCGGTGCCATTCACAATCCTGGTCTTCTTAAGAGCCAAGCCCCCCCCCCCTCCCCCCAGTCTTCTGGGTTACACACCCTCGAAAACGGAGGAGAGTATTTCAAAGTCGTCCTTGGCATTCATGACGCACAATAAACGTCGTTCAAATTCTGTCATTCCACAAACCATACAATGATCAAAGCCAAGAACAATGTCATTGTCGAGGAGTTCAATATCTGCGTTCGTGAGCACGATTTCAGATATAGCAGCCGTCAATTGGCTCCCAATCAATGTGCGAGGTACGATGGCGTAGTCAAATCATCACACATTGGGGAGCATGTTTACGAAACAGAGATTGTGCTTGCTATAGCAGGTCTTTTTCACTTAAAGGCACACCAACAAGTTATAAGTAAGCTTGTTTCATTCTATTTCATGCTTGCCTCAATATCTTCAGATGTGAAACATTTCCTTCAAGCCTGTCATTTCCATTAGCCTACAGAGAGAATCACGATCCTGCCATCGGTGCGTCGAATAGCCCTGCAGCTGATATGTAGCCTAGCGGCTGCCATGGTTGAGCTATGAATGGCCCAGCAACTGTCACAGTTAAGCTGTCAATAGCCCAGCAGCTGCCATGGTTGAGCTATCAATAGCCTGGCAGCTGACATGGTTGAACCATCAATAGCCCAGCAGCTGCCATGGTTGAGCTATCAGTAGCCCAGCAGCTGCCACGGTTGACGTATCAAAAGGCGCTGTCCTCGGCTGCACCGGTCCACCCGCGCGCTGTGCCGCCCGGCGCCGGCCGTCACTCGCCGCCTGTCCGGCAGGCACTGTGCACCTGGAGGCGCTGGAGATGCTCTCCAGCCGCACCCTCAGCCGCGTGAAGTCGGCCCGGAGCCGCGCCGAGGACGGCGTCGACGTCATGCTGGACGTGGTCGAGGTCAGTGGGCGACCGGGCCGCGACTGGCGGCGCGCGCCACCGAATGGGAGCCCCGGGACCCCTGTTCTCACGACAGAGCGGAAAAATCCCGTGGTGAGAATGCGGTTGGTCAGATTATGCATGCTTGCTGTGTGTTAGCGCCGACCCTGTCATTGCTGGTGGACCCGCGCGTGGCGCTCAAATGTGAGAGGGCGAGAGGGGCACTTGGCCCACTTCGGCCCACTTCGCCGTCCAGTCGTCCCGTCTTGTCTGCGCCAGGGGTCGTGCGTCGGTCTCAGCATGCGCTATCGGTCAAGAGATCGGCCGCTGACCGAGATGTCAGCCGCTGGAAGCCAGGGTCTGGTCTTTTCTACCATTGTCAGCCAGTCAAACGTGACAGAAACTGGCGGAACAAAAAAATACCTCTAGCCAGTTTCTCTAAATAAAGATTTGTTGTGATCAATGTATAGGTGATCTGTGATCATCGGATAGTTTTTCGTTTTCTCAGTGAACCAGTAAGATCATATATACAATATGATCCCAACGTGTGATGCGTTTTCCATAAGACTGTTTGGTCAGTGCTGTGACGTGGGCCAATGATCGCCCAATGTGCGGATCACAGTTAAATTTATGCATTTCCACCTTGACATGTGGATTTATACGGCTGCTGTTCAGATATGTGTTGGCATGCGCGTCATAATGACCATTTCCAAATCTGGTCGAAGTCCTATGGTGGTCA